ACCTCATCATGGACAAGTCTATTCAACTCTCTGAAAACTCTGGAAGAAAGTATTTTTACTCGAACTTTACTTGATTTCGCTAAACTTACTTGAAAGCTTTTCAAGCACCTGAAACTTAGAATGAGGCGAAAAACTAATTCATTTTAGATAAGCCTTTCGCTGGGCTCTGCTCAAACTCTAGTTCGTCCAGACGTTTCTTATCTTTCAGCCAAGTGTCATTTGGAAAACTTGGAAACAAAAGTTTCAAATGTTAAATTTGTTCCTTAAAAACTGAAGTCTATTTAAGAGACGACAGCAGGAAATGTTTTATTCAGGGGAGCGAGACAGCGAGGGAGCGGGACAAGGACAGGGACTCTGACTGGGACTGGGATTTCATTACAAGTCTTGTGCTTGCGCTTATCCTGTTGGCAGCAATTGTTTCTGTTCGCAACGTCTGCATAATACATAGAAGTAGAAGAAGCAGCTCAAAGGAGCCAACGGAATACCCCTAATCGCATTCCACGCTGTTGTCCTTTCGCCACGGATATTCTCGGCTACGCTCTGCCAATGCTGATGAGCTTATGCGTGAGACAAGAGGGAGCAAGGGCGAGAGGCGTAAAGACAGAGTCAATTGTTGGCATTCGCGAAATGTTTTCAGCTTGGCTCTGGCTTTGGCTAACTCCTTGGCGAAACGTGATTAAGATTCGAAACAAGCAGCGTGCGGCATGTGCGGCATCTAATTCATGCATAGCCATGACTGGGCGAACACAATATAGCCAAGTCGAATGCTTTCCAGTGGCAGTGGCAGTGACTGACTAGTAAATACCTCAGATTCTGGACAGCTCTTGTAGTCATCGGGTCACGCGAGAATACTATTCTCTAATCGATTTAAGGAAGAAGAAAAAATATTGCGTATTTCAACTACAAGAATAAATAATACAAAAATTAAAAGACTGAAGTTATGAAACTGGAAAAACGATATTTATCGATATGGCAAGAAAGGGTGAAACCAAAATAATATATATATATATATATATTAAGGAATAAATAAACTAAAATTATTTTGCACTTAAACTGCGAAGATATATAAATAGTGCTGTACCTCTCGGAAAACGCTTAAAAATCGATATTTATCGATATATTCGTGAAATGCCTAAGCCTTAGCTGCTTATCCAGTGTATATATTTATAGAGTATTAGCTATCGCACCAATATAGCCCGTTTATATTCGTATTCAATTAAAGGGTATAAAATGGAAAACGCATTTCCCTAGACAATATGACAGCACAGCATGCAGATATCTATATAACTGTATCTGTGTCTAGTGAAAACTGCTGTTGCTCGAGATAATAAAATTTTAGATGTGTTTTTCATACTTCCGGCTGAACAATGCCGAAGTTGAAACATTTTCCCTTGATGCCAGAATGAGACAGAGAGAGAGAGTGAGAGAACTTTCTATGAACTTTTCTTCCTCTTTCTATGCTGATTGCAATTTGGTTCTTCCTCTTCTTTTGCAGTCCTTTCCATTCGCAACACGCAAGAGGAGGAGCCACCAGATCCACAGCTGATGCGCCTGGACAACATGCTCATTGCCGAGGGCGTGGCCGGTCCCGAGAAGGGTGGCGGTGGTGCTGCTGCCGCATCAGCTGCAGCTGCCAGCCAGGGCGGCTCCCTGTCCATCGATGGGGCGGACAATGCCATTGAACATTCGGATTATCGGGCCAAGTTGGCACAAATCCGTCAGATCTATCACCAGGAGCTGGAGAAATACGAACAGGCATGCAATGAGTTCACCACGCACGTCATGAATCTGCTGCGCGAACAGAGCCGCACCAGGTAAGAAACAGAGAGAGAGCTGAGTTCAATGTTATCGATAAGTAAACTATTTATCGATGGGCACATAGGTAAACTTATTGTTAGAGAGCTGAGAGGTAGAGATAGAGCAGAGCTTAAGAAAGACGAGAAAGTAGTGAGTGAGCTGATGAAAAATGAAGATGAAAAGCGAGAAGAGAGAGAGAGAGAAGAGGCAGAAAGAGCTGGCTAGACATACAACACTACTCAAGCACTTATCGATAGCAATTAATCGATGCTTCGAGCAATCATAAACATTATTAAATTCTGCCTTTTCATTCATTCTTCCCTCGCACACATCAGACCCATCACACCCAAAGAAATCGAGCGCATGGTCCAGATCATACACAAGAAGTTCAGCTCAATTCAAATGCAGCTGAAACAATCGACCTGCGAGGCGGTGATGATACTGCGATCACGCTTCCTGGACGCTCGCCGCAAGCGACGCAACTTTAGCAAACAGGCGTCGGAAATACTGAACGAGTATTTCTATAGTCATTTGAGCAATCCGTATCCATCCGAAGAGGCCAAAGAGGAGTTGGCGCGCAAGTGTGGCATAACAGTAAGTCGAATCGATTGGCAATGCTGCTGATGACTATCGATAGTTATCGCTGATTGCTTGCTTGCTTGCAGGTGTCACAAGTCTCGAATTGGTTTGGCAACAAGCGCATTCGCTATAAGAAGAACATTGGCAAAGCCCAAGAGGAGGCCAATTTGTATGCGGCCAAGAAGGCGGCCGGTGCCTCGCCCTATTCAATGGCTGGACCACCGAGCGGCACAACAACGCCAATGATGTCGCCAGCACCGCCACAGGACTCGATGGGCTATCCGATGGGCGGCTCCGGTGGCTATGATCAGCAGCAGCCATACGACAACAGCATGGGCGGCTACGATCCCAATCTGCATCAGGATCTAAGTCCTTGAGGATAGGCGGGCCAAAGCTAAACAACAACAACAAAAACAAACAAACAACTAACAACAAACAAACAAACAACAATTCATTTAATACTTAAGTTTTTTTTCTGCAATGGAAATGTGTGTGTGTGTGTGTGTGCGTGATGTGTGTGTGTTGCATACAATCAACAATGTATACGATTATGTCTTAATTTATAAAGAAAAGCAAAGCAGAGCAAAGCAAAGTTTCGGGCAATGCCTGAAAATTTGTTATTTAACAACAACAACAACAACACGCACGTGCACTATACGCATGTATATGTATATTTAAGCGAGATTAGTTTGAATAATTGCCATGCTCAAATCAGAAGCAAAAGCTAGAAGAAAAGTTCAATAAAAATGATGTATTTATTTTGTACTAAACTTGAATATATATGTATATATATCCATATATACACACACACACATTTTATCTATAAACATATATATATATATATATATATATATATATATATATATATATATATATATATATATATATATATATATATATATATATATATATATATATATATATATATACATGACTAAAATCTTTTGCGTTGCAATATCAAATTAATTAATAAAACGTAAACTTTTTTAAATTTTAACTAATTTTTTTTTTTTTAATTTTTGTGCGCTTAGCTTAAGTATATGAGAGATAAAACACAAAATTTCAATTAAATAATGCAAAAAAATTATGATTTTTTTAAGCTTTTTTTGTAAACCTCAAATACGTAAAAAAAGCAAAAAAACTTTCGACTAGGCATTAGTTTACAAAATAGTTTATATATATATATATTTTTTGTCGTAGTTTTTAAGCTGCAAACAAAACAATTTGTATACTAAAAATACTAAAAAGAACGCATGTATACTACAAAATACGAACTATATATATACATCTATATATATATATATATATATAACATTATATATATATACTCCAAAACACAGCAAGAAGAAGAACAAATGTATACTAGAACGAAACTCCCATTTATCAAGCCTAACAAAAAATACTTAAAGAAATACTAAAATATAAATAACTACAATTTGTATACCAGTTGGCCACTGTTATAACAGTCGTATAACAGTTCAAAACAAAAACATCAATTGTCAAAACACAAAGTATTACGAAACTTTAACAACAAAAAAATACCTAATTAAATACAAATTTTCTATTAAATATTTATGGCAAAATTTATAACAAAAACAAATCATGTATACGATGTAAATCAAATTTAGAACTCAACAATTTTTTTCATTTTGAGTTTGTCAAGAACTTTTTGTTGTACACAGAAAAAATGAAAGGAAAATATAAAAAATATATTAATAAATAAATTACTTCCTCTTAGTATTTGCTGGAAAAAGTATTGTAAACAAAAAAAATAAATAAAAATAAAAAAAATACAAAAAATTGTCAGCTAACTGTTAAAGCAAGCAGTTGGATACATCTATATATATATATATATATATATCTATATATATATCTATATGTATATATATATATATATATATGAAAAAATACTATGATTACTTAAAAAAATAAATACAACAAACGAACAACAATGCTATATTATAATTAAATAAACAAAAAAAAACAAATTTTTTTTTTCAATTTAAAGTTAATGGAAAAAGTATATAGCTTTTTAGCCTGAATCCATTGAAAATTAATTTACATTTTTTATTTAAACATTTGTATTATTTTTTAATGTTATTTACTTTTCGTTTCTTTTTTTTTGTATATTAATAACTGTAGAGCGTACAAAAGCTCATAGCTCATATATAATTGAGATATACGAGGTCTGCCATTCTCCATTTCTTCCCAGAATCCAAGAATCGTTTTCTGTCATCTTCAACTCGCCTCCGATGCTGTCTATATCTCCTCAATCGTAGCGTAGCTTCGTCCGGGTAACAAGTCTGGGTCTGTACGAATACTAAAACTTGGCTCTATTGAAGAGGAAACAAAACAGATCCAAGCGAAACGTCTGTTAAAAGTTAACTCTGCATTCACAATGGCCAGTCTCCCCTCCATAAGTGATGTATATGAACTTGCGTTGCTTTTTTAACAGACCTCGTACACAGTTCGGATTAAAGATATTTGGTTTGATTTTATTCAATTTGTTATTCAACAATTAAGCTAGGTGAGAACATAAATGAAAATTTAATATCTTTATCGATTTAGAGATGCAATTTGAATACAAAAAAAAGAGTAGGACACATAACTATACAAACTATATGTACATGAAGGTATAATATAGGTGTAACTTTTATATACATATATATATATATAGACATATGTACATTTATCAAAAAATATAGTATCACATTGTACGATGCAGTGTCGCGAGTCGATGAGCAGCAACTGTTCAAGGAGCCTTGCGCCTTCCTGGGCACATGGACCAAATTGTGACTGATTGATCGGAATTGGGTTGGGCATGCGTCTGGGTGTTGGGCCTGCCCTGATGGGCCGCGTCTCATTCGGACTTGGCCTTGACATCGTCGCTGGCATTGCAGTTGCGATAGTCGCTGGAGCTGTTGCTGCTTCTGTTGCTCGCTCGGCGATCCTCGTTTAGGCCATTTGTTATCACCGCCTCATCCTCGTTGATGGCATCCGAGATGGCGCTGCTGATGCTGTTGCTGTTGTTCTGCGACCCGCTTGGCACACAGGCACAGGCATCGCATACACGCACATCTGTTTGCCAGCCGCGCTCCAGCACGGGCATGCGGCGCTTTGAACAGCTGCTGCAAATCGCCTGGCCGCAGCGTCGACAATGATGACGCCTGCAGTCGCCCGGCCCATCGACGGCTCTAGTTCTAGGTGCAGTTCCTTCATTACTGCTGCCGCTGCTCCTGGCATCTGATTTGCTGATGTTGCCCCCCTTCGGCTTGCCACGTTCGCCCGAATTCTTCGCCATCTCCAGCTCCTCGGCGCGTCCAAAAACTGCTTTGCATATGAAACAGTTGGGCGATTCCGCATCGGGCACCCAATAGGCAGGACGTGCACTGTCCTTGATCATGGCTGTGGGTTCAATTAGTGAATTAGCCAAGTGTCTTCGACTTCTTCCATATCACTGCATCACTTACCCTTGGGATAGTCTATGGCCACGGCTGCAACGCTGCTGATCGTATTGTAGATTGTCTCGCCATATTTCCGTACCAGAATATCGCCCTCATCATTCGTTGGACGTGAGCCTAAGGCGACGTAGAGATAGGAAGCAAATAGTGCGACAGAGAAAGAGAGTGAGACTGTAGTCATTCATTCATATACATTTCATTTGAAATTTCTTTTCTTTACTTGGCTGAGCTGTGCTTCGACTCTTGATCGATCTGTTGTTGCTTTCTTACCTGGTGTCGCGTCTGATTTGCGCTGCAGCTGTTGATGGCAATCGTTGCAGACGCGCACTGGCTGCAGCCAGCCACGGCCCGGCACGGGCAACCTGTGCTGGCTGCACGTGTGGCAAAAGCCCTCTCCACAGCCGCGACAATGATGCTTCGGCATGCCAGACTTCTCGAAGTTGCGCCTGCAGGCATGGCACATCTGTAAAGCCAATTGCAGACAATAAGTGAATGCTTAGACGCAGTAGATACCCTTTAACCATAAAGCTGTGTTTTTAAAGTCTAGCATAGAAGATAAGTAGGCCTAAACGCCAATCGATATTTATCGATTTAAAGAAGGCTATCTGTTCCAGTTACTCTAGATACACTAGTCGTTTGTTTATGGTTACAGAGTATGCAAGGGAAACTAAATTTGTATCTTTTTTAGTGTTGTAAACGCACAATTATCTCCTGATTGGGTCGCCAATAGCTGGGCGCCACCTTGTCCGCCAGCATGCCACTCAATGCCTTCGCCCATGGCGCTGAAATGTTGGTAAATGCCTCACTAATGCTATTGACGCTATCGAGCACCATTTGAGCGGAATGAGCATTGGCGCGCAACGCAGCATTTCCACCTTTCCAGACATGCACCACCTGAACGCTGCAAGACAGTGATAGAGAGGGAGTTACGAATTGATAGATTAGATTGCCTCAAAGTACTTACTGCACCACCGATGCCTCGGGTGATTTATTGCCATACCAATATTGACGTGCCCGATAGATTTCGCCACAGTACGGACACTCGATAACATCGCCCTTCCACACGTATTTGGCCAGGCCCGACCAGGCGGTATCCGTTTGCGCCTGCGCTCGCACACTAACAACGATCTCCTTGCCATTGTTGTAGCAGGCCTTGCACAGGTACAGTTTGTTGCCAAATTGATGCTGGTAGTTGCAGGGCTGCGTATTGTAATGCGGCTCCCCATCGCTCACATGACCCATCGAACGTTGGCAGCGACGGCTGCACGATTCGCAATGGGCACTGCAGGTAAAGTATTGCTCCGGAAATGGATTGATTGCTTTCTCGATAATTTCGCCAGCGAACTTCTGATTCAAGAGTTTCATCGCCTTGAAGACGACGGCGGGTTGGCGCGGCGAACGTACCGCCGTATTCTCTATCTCCAGGTGCAGTGCATCGCTTATCTTTTGGAAATTCGTTGACTTCTTCGCATCCGTCTGGATGCCTACGTAGCGCAGCGAACTAAACGCATTCGTCTCATAGTTCAGCAGGGCGAAATTGTTGCGTAGCTTGTCCTCGGCGCTCTCCTCCACGGCTGAGTGTAGAGTGTCAAAAAGAGATATTAGAAGGTATTATACACAACAATTGGTATCGATATACGATATCGATCGTATCTGACAGACATACGCAATACCCGTAGATATTTATCGATATTTTAATAGTACATACTGCTCTCCAGCGGCTTTGTGTAGTGCGTCTCGTGGAATATGATCACAGCTGGTCCCAGAGTGCTGCCATTGCCCATGGCTTGCAGCGCCTGGGTGAAATGCAAGCAAAACGCCTTCGAGGCGGTGCCTAGAAACTCGTACATATCACTGTGCAAACGCTCCGAGCGTGTGCGATAAACCACAATATCCGAAATGGCCAAAATCTACCAAAGAAACATGGAATTAAGGACATCAAATCAAAAATCAAGTTATCGATTAATCGCACATACCTTGAGTAGCATGCGCATCCGTTTGTTGCTTTTGGCCGTGGTGCCCAACAAGCCCTCCGTGTCTAAACAAAGAACACCCTGTTCTCGTTGCATGGCAGCATAGACGCCAATTGTGCAGGAGCTTTGCTCTGGTGATGTGCGAAACACGGGCTCGCCATCGAAAAATACCTGATTCATCGTATGCGATTTGCCATCACCGGTGTTGCCAAATATTGAGATCACTTTGATTTTATCCAGACTCTGACACTTGAGCTTCTTACAAAACAATTCTGGCGTCGCTATCTGCAAATTCTCGTCGGCATCGAGAAAGAGAAATGCACGTGTCGTCGCTCCATTATCGTTATCAATTGAGTCGTGATCATTCGTATTGATAAATGGTATCGATTTAAATTCGGCATCGTTTATCACATCCAGTCGCAATGCCTCGTCCTGTATGTGTGCAAGTTATGCACAGAATGAGCAAGAGAAAAAGAGAGAGAGAGAAAGCATGAGCATAACTGTTAATCGAGTAAGTTTTTACATTATGGCGCGCACCTCTGTTATGGAAACTAGAAAGGCCATCGTTAACGGCAAATTGTTGATTAACTCAGCCTTTAAGCAGCTGTGTAAATTAATTGTTAAATAATTCACAGTTGGCCCAGCAGCTGGTTGAGCGGCTGAGCGCTGATTTTAGTGATTCAGCGCCTTGTGGACAACGTTTGCTGCGACTGACTACTCAAAAAGTGACGACGCAATTTAAAATAAATAAAAACAAACAAAAAATAAACGTCGAGCATTTCTTTTGTTATTATATTTGCCTGGAAGCATCTATACCTGTGTGTGTGTTAACAGCGGCAGAATATTGCTATGTTAACAGCGTCTTTACATTCTGTTAATGCAGTCTTTAACAGCGTGCGCTTACGTCTGTGTGCACTTAACCCTTGTGTGCACCAGTTTTTTTGCTTGTATACTAAAAATATGAGTCATAAAAAATTTGTTATGAAATATAGTTAATTTAATTTGCTGATTAGCACAATAATTTCACAATTTTAAAATGATTGCGTTATAAAATCTTCGACACTGCTCACTTAAGGGTTTATTTGCAAATATCGAGCATTTACAGCTTATCAACAGTTTTTGTAACCTGGACGCAATTTGAACGGCTCACGCTTACGCCTTTGTTGATGTTTTGTTTGTTTTTTTTTTGTGTTATTTTACTGGACAGCATGGAATTGTAAATAAAAACAATATAAGCACGTAAATGGAATATTGTTGTGCCCCTTATCAAGGCTTATCAGTGCCTGCGACTGGAGATGGCGAATGGAATAGCCAGAACGACAAAGGCACAACCGTAATATTATTACTGTTATTGTAGTAGAACACTTGTTTATGTTGTTGTTGTTTGACATACACGATTATCGTAGGTTTTGCCGTGCCCCTTTTCGTATGTGTAAAGTGCGACGCAGCTGGGCTTACAGACGCTAAAATCTATGCGCTAAAAGCTTTGCTATAATTTATACAGTTAAAAGCGGTTATGTGCTTGTGTGTGAGTGAAGAACAGCTGCGTACGCGTTTGTACGTGTATATATATAATAACATGCTCATATATGTATATGTGCATGTGTTTGTTTTTTATCAACGCGCGTTTCATGAGCAAGAATGAATTAACAATGCGCAATACTTTGGGCTCTAATAACAATAGCAAATTAATTGAATGTCCATCGGAACATATGACTCGCTGCTGCATTTATATTTGCTATATTTGCAATTTATTATTGGTTGTGGCGCTTACCTGAAAAAATGGCAACGGCTGCATTATTGACGATTGATTTTTATTTGTTGTATCCAAATTGATCATTATTGTAGAGCTGCGTTTGCTTTGTTAAGGATTTTCGGTGCAGCTGCAACCTGCAGCCAATTATAATAGCTATGTACGTATATGGTAAGTATAGGTTTTGTGTGTGTGTCTGTGTACGTGTTTATTTTGCTAAGAGTGCGGCTAGCTGCCAACGGTGGTGCACCTGATTAGCTGCTTATAAATTCAATTAGCGTTGTCTTTAAGATGTTTATATATTTATATGTGTTTATTGCATAAACTCCACATTTATTCACATTTGCTATTTAATTTAACTATTTGAGGGCACCACAACCAACAACAAACGACAAAAACGCGCACGCATTGTCAAAAAGTTAAAAGCACTTTGTAATAGAGATGCACACTATACAGCGATCAATATATCGATGCACAATCCTCTATAGAGATGGCTGGTTGGCGATGTAATGTAAAACAGCTGCTGCGACGATTAATCAAACATTACTTACATAATTTCTTGAAATTATTAGAGCTGTAGTTGCACCGTAGCAAAAACTTCTGAAATTTGGGTTTTAGAATGTTAGTAACATATTTAACACAACAAGTATTTGATTTGAAGTACCTGTTGTAGTCTGAGTCATTATCGTCGTTCGATTGCAAGTATCGATACGGTGTATGCTGAAAATATCGCCTTGTGTTGAATCGATGTTTCGATATATCATGATATCAACATCCCCAATGTGTGTGTGCGCCGCAAAACAAAACGCGTATTGTACGGGTACGGTGCGGGCACACAGCAAAGGCGAACCCCCAATATATTTCTAAATTGGCTGTGCTTTCCAAAAAACGACAAATCAGTGAATTAGTTTGCCAAAAAAATATAACAAAAATACCGTATTGGAAATGTCCTGAATAGTGCTGATCTTTTTTTTGTTTTCTTTGTGTTAGTGTGTCTGTGTGTATCGTCGTCGTGTATGGTGCTAAAATTTACACATACCCACCTACACACACTTATACACAACACACAAACATACATAGGCGCGCATATATCTACAATACATACGTTGTAAGTGTAGAAAATTTCTGCTGCTTTCTTTTGTTGCCTTATTCGTTTGCATTGCCCCGAGCTAGTCTGCCTTAGGTGCATGTGTATGTGTGTGCGTGTCGCATATTGTCCGTGTATTTGAAAAGGGGTGGCCATACCCCAAGAGGGTGGAGTCCAAATTTTGAGTACGTATATTTTTCGCTTTCGAATTGGTCAACCAAACACATTCATACATACATAGGTTTCATCAAATATAATCGGTAACGGTATTTGCCGTTAAATAGCCGCCTATTGTATAGCAATTAGGATACACGAAAGCTTAACAAATATGAGACAATAAATAAATTCTCAATTATTTTGCCTGCCCTTTAAAACTATAAACTTTATTCATTGTTTTCTCGGCTGTTTCTGAACTCTTGATTGTGTTTTGGGGGTGGGGGTTGTATGTGCTTGTGTGTATGTGCTCAGCACTCGTTGTCAGACGGCAAAACGGAAACGAGAAATTTTCATTCAACGTTTTTCTTGGTTCCATTTGATTTTTATTGTGCCATTGCTCCTTGTATGTAGATGCGTATACATATATAAATAAATATACATATATATATATATGTATATATATATATGTATATATATATATGTATATATATATATGTATATATATATATGTATATATATATATATGTATATATATATATGTATGTACTTCATCGAGTTGTACTTTCTGGTTCAATTGAATTATTTGAAAAGTTCATGTATTAGCAAATTAACTAATGTGTTATTCAATTAATACCGTTCAGTTGCTCATTTGGGCTCCTTTGGCTTTGAATTATTCATTATTGATTATAATCTTATCAGAATCGTTTCGGATTCAAAAAAATAGTTCATTTGGATAATCACTTATCTGTTATCTAATTCAATTGCTCAGTTTAACTAGTTGCAATGAACAAAAGTCTGAACGAAACGACACTGCTCTAATGCAGAATATGTACCACACATACACAACGACACATGTATGTAAGTGCGCGACAATGACGAGACGGCGGCGCGTTCTCTGCTTACATGCTTTTGCCGGCACTCGTTGAAACATACACAGACACACTTGAACTCGCAGGCAGATAAATGCGGCAGTCATTCATATTGCACTTTGTTTATAACAAATTGCTTGTATTCTATTCGCCACCCACACAGACACACAAATACACATGCTGCTTTCATATACGCATGCACAGTCAGACATACTTACATATATACATGCGCTCTCACTAACTCATGCTTTTTCTCTCTCTTTCTCTCTCTCTGTCTCTTTTTCTTTTTGGCTTTGTCGCCTGCGTCTATTTTGCATTATTATTATTACAGCGCGACGTATCACCGGCATAACAACAGCCAGCAGCAACAGCAACAACAACAATTATTATTATTATTATTGTGAGTTGGGCGCAGCGTGCGCTGCTGCTGCTGCACAGCGCCACAGCCTAAACAAAGCAACAACTATACATACATATACACACGTATAAATAATACACCCATACAAAAACATCTGCACAGCTGCTTACGCACATAGATAAACAGCATAAAACATAAACGCATACGCATATTTGCATAAAAAGTAACCAAAAAATACCAAAACACACACACATACATACATAACTACGTACATACATACAACAAAAATACCAATCAATGGCAGATTTAATGCGTTTGGGTAATGTGGACGTTGTCATACAGAAAGATAAACTCGGCTCGCCAACGGGCGGCTCCGATGACGGCAACCTAGCGGCATTGGGCGGTATAACGGGTCTCGGCGCCATGATGGCCGCTGGTGGCATTGATTTGAACGATCTGGCACAGGAATTGGATCAGGATGAGTTCGATGGGCCGCATATGCTCAATGGTGAGTGTTAAACACAAACATACATACACACACATAATGAATCAGTGCCCTTTGTATGCACTTTATTATTACATAGAACCGGTTTGCAAGGCGAACTTGTGGCTTTGCGTTGTTTACTGCCCCTTAATTGTGAACATATGGCAACATTCATACAAATCTGTATTAAGGCATATGTGTGTATATAAATTGCCTGCCTCTAAGCACACACACACACAGACACAGTCATGCAGCTAAATATATGTGTGTTTACATTAGGTGAATCATCAGCTGTTTGTAAGCGCAGCCTTGTGACTGGCTTCTAGGCAGTCAAGGTGCAATGCACGCACGAGCTACTGTATATTTTAGGCGCGCGTGCCAATGCGTCATGCCCCACAAATTCAAAAACAAAAAGAGAAAAATATGTTAAACCTAAAGCTTTGGCAATTATTGCGTCTGCGTAGCTGTTTTGTGAGTCATGCGACTGCGCTTGCGTTGCTCTAAGCCCACTCTCTCTCGCTCTCTCTCCCTTTCTTCCACCTACAATTGATCACTGTCATTTTGTATGACAGCATGGCCAGGTCTCTCTCTCTCTCTCTCTTTCGACAACATACATGACCTTTAGCTGAATGTGTGTGCGTGTGTACTTATCGCATTTCAATTTGATATACGATAAATGCGTTTGCTGACAATTGATCGTTGTCAACATTTTATGTATGGCAGCCTGGCCAGCTGTATTGACAAAATGGCCGCTGCCCCCTAGGCTAGTTGCATTTCATCACATGCTATCGGTTATCACACGCACATACACACAGACACATTAGCTTTAATCAGCACACTTATACATATATAGGTACATATTTTTATATGAAAATATTCTTTTTGTTACGCCTTTAGTGTGTTTAGAAACTGCGCAGATTGCGGTCATTTTGTTAGACAATTCTTATGATTTTATCATTAAAGTAAATTAGCAAGTGCAGCCTCAAGCATACGCTATTGCCTACGCACACACACATATATATATATATATATATATATATGTATATATATAATATAAAATATAATTGAGATATATATATAAATATATATTTAAATATATATATATATATATATATATATACATATATATATATATATATATATATATATCAATTGATGCCAGTCAATTATACTCCTGCAGCTATTGGTTCATATCGATAACATAAATTGCCACTTATAGAGTCTGCTTACTGAGTCATTGAATGTGTGCATATCAGAACTGGTGCAGACATTTCTGCAGATTGTTATCGATAATTATCGCTGTGCTTAAAAATATGATTTTTAAACAGAAACCCCGTTTTTATAGTAAGTTTTTTTATATTGACAAAATTTAAGATTGTTATCGATAGACAAAAGCAAGTGAACCATTTCTATTTACTATCGATTAGGGTATTTCAGATTGAGCTTTTTTGCGGATGGATTTTCTATTTTAATTTGCCTGTTTATTTTTGATTTGTCGCTTGTGCGTTTTGCAAGGCTGTTAATTTGGCACATTTTACAACATTTCTTGCTTGCAGGCGAGCGTCCGGCGATAATAGCACCGCCGGAGAGCGAATGGTATCATGGACGATTGGATCGCTATTCGGCGGAGGCACGTCTGCGTGGCAGCGGCAAGTTGGGCAGTTATCTGGGTGAGTATACCATATATGGGTATTATCGGTTATGCATAGATCTAAATGCTTTAATATTCGCTCTCTATTCTCCTTCAAAGTGCGTGAAAGTGATCGCAAGCCTGGTTCCTATGTGCTCAGCTATTGTGGACGCACAGGCATAAATCATTTTCGGTAAGTTTGCACGACCAGCGGATACCCTGTATGTGTGCATGGCACACTAACTTCTCTGGCTGTAGAGAAGCTACATTCCAAGTCTCTAGCTCTTTTAGTCGTCTAGTTATGCTCAGTTAAAAAATCGATTTTTATCGATATTAAGAAAATTTGAATATATATATTGTTAATTATAATCATTAATTTTTTATATTTGTAAACGTCTTAAAAACAGTTTAGGATATCGATCAAATTATCGATAACTTTATTAATTTTTCTTGTCATAAAATCAACCTGAGATAAATCAAAAATAAAGTTAAAGATGTATATTAACCTTTCCATAATTTTAGTCCATAATGTATTACAATTTACCATTTCTTTTTATCTGTAGCATTACGGCCGTCTGCGGAGACTTTTACATAGGCGGACGTCAGTTCATTTCGCTAAGCGATCTCGTTGGGTATTATACCTCGTGCAGTGATCTGCTGAAGCGCGAGCGTCTGGTCATACCCGTCGCACCACCGGAGCCAGTGAACGACAAGAAACGCGTGGTTGCCATTTTGCCATATACGAAAATGCCGGAAACGGACGAGTTGAGCTTTCAGAAGGGCGACATCTTCTTTGTGCACAATGACATGGGCGATGGCTGGCTGTGGGTGACGGCCCATCGGACCGGCGAGCAGGGCATGATCTTTCGTGAACTGGTCGATGATCTGGACGTGTCGATCGATCCCAATACGGTCTTTCCCTGGTTCCATCCAAATTGCACCAAAAACGAGGCCGTCGATATGCTGGTCAAGGGTGAGTTCCCAACTCGATGAATATATATAGCTCTTAAAAAAACGATAACAAAGCAAGTCAAGCTTAAAATGTCATTTGAATCAATGTAAGTGTAGTCAAGTCAAATCTACAAGTCAGTTCTATTCAAGTACCGCAGACGAAATTCAATTCGATAAGTCGATAGCTAAGGAAATTCCTTTTCAAATATTCAAAGAACTTAAAACCATTCAAAATTAATACCAAACTAGTTTGGAGTGTTATTTCACATAAGCGTATACAGCTGCGACTGGCAAATAAATCGATAATAATCGATTGCTTATCACAAAGTTTAAATTGTCAATAACTGTTTTAAGAGGTATTAAGTTCAAACCAATCAAGCTTGCAAAACGACGATAAATATAGCTAAAATTAACTATATATGTAATGGACATAGGCGATGAGAGCCTATCGCTTTTAATGTAATTCGTGTTATCGATAACTTAATTAATATCTCGTTCTTCTCAATTTACAGCTGGTCCTGGCAGTTTTCTGGTGCGACCCAGCGACAATTCTCCGGGTGACTATTCGCTCTTCTTTCACATCAACAATCAGATACAAAGATTTCGCATCGAGAAGAAGGGCGTACGCTATCTGATGGGTGGGCGAACGTTCGAATGCCTCGATGCGGTGATTAACCGTTATCGCAAAGAGCAAATTGTCGAAGGGCATTCACTCAATCATCCCGTCGTCAACGGCACCCAGCCTGAGTTCAATCAACAGTATGTGGTAGAGAAGGCTGCCGAGAAGATCTATGCAACGTTGCGCGAGTGCCGCGATCAGATTGGCCTGAAGAAGATCAAGGGCATCAAACATCATGGGCATCTTAACAAGAAATCGGACAAGACGACCAAATGGAAACAACTGTACTTTGCGCTAATCAACGATGGCACCGAGACGCAGCTCTGCTTCTATGACAATCCAAAAAAGACTAAACCCAAAGGCCTCATCGATTTATCGTGCGCCTATCTATATCAGTGCCATGATTCGCTCTGGGAGCGACCCTATTGCTTCCAGATAGTGGAACGAGCTCTGCCCTGCCTGGCCACCGTCACCTACCTGTGCGCCCCCAGCCAGGAGAGCTATGTGGAATGGATCAATGCTCTAAAGGCGCAATGCGACTCGCAGCTGAGTCGTGCCCAGAAAAAGGTGTCGCGTCTGCGTGAGCTGCGTTGTCTCAACTTGCATGTGCTGGAGGCACATCGATTGCCATTCAAACTCGTGCCACATCCCTATTGCAGTATTTCCCTAAATCAGGTCAAGGTCGGCAAGACCAGGGTGAAGATCGCGCCGGAGCCTGTCTGGGAGGAGGAGTTTGTGCTTGAGTAAGTTTTCCTCGCTCTGTGTATTCGAGATGCCTGAATAGCTCTTATGATATTTTTGCATGATTCCATTCAATTTAATTTAATTTCAATCAATTACAGCGATGTACCACCAGATGTTGTGTCCCTAACAATTACCGTCGTCTCACGTGGCAAGCGTGGCAAGGACTCGGAGGTGGCCGAACTAACTATCGATTTGGCCAGCCTGAAGAATGGCCAGGAGACCGAGGACTGGTACAAGCTGACGGGAATGACGCCGATGGGCGAGTGGGGCTCGTTGCGCTTGCGCATGCGCTATCTGGACGATCTGATAATGCCTTGCGAGGAGTACAGTCCGCTGCAGCAGCTGCTGCTCGAACCGGAGCTGTATGCTGTGAAGGCGCTGGCCGAGCTCTGTCACAACGATCGCGTGCCATTGGCCACGGCATTGCTGCGTGTCTTTCGGCACGAGAAACGCGAAACGGAATTGATACGCATCCTCTGTCAGGCGGAAGTGGCACGGGAGAATGAGACGACCACCCTGTTCCGCGGCGCATCGCTGGCGACAACCCTAATGGATCTATACATGCGCACCGAATGCAGCGGCTTCCTTCAATCGGCCGTCAGCGAGACGGTGCAGCGCATCTTGGAAAGCAAACAGTCGGCCGAGCTGAATCCAACCAAAATGGATGTCAACGATGATGCGTGCACCAATGCCGAATTCCTCTTGCAGATACTCGACTTGGTCACCCAATCGATATTCACATCGCCGGACGCTTGTCCGCGTAACGTGCGCTACATCTGCAATTGCTTGCAGAAGGCAGTTGTTGCCAAGTGGCCGACGGAACGTTTGGTGCGCACGCGTGTTGTGTCCGGTTTTATATTCCTGCGTCTGCTCTGTCCTTCGCTGCTCAATCCACGGCAATTTGGGTTGGTTAGCGAGACGCCGCCAACGGCGGCAACCCGCTCCCTCATTATGGTGGCCAAATGCTTGCAGAATCTGGCAAATCTAATTGAATTTGGCGGCAAGGTAAGTCTATTGGTGGCCATCTTGCGTGGCTTATCGACTGATCGATTGCATTGTTTTGCAGGAGCAATATATGGAGGTGGTGAATCCGTTTATACTTAAGAATAAGGAGCGCATGATTGTGTTCTTGGATCAGCTGTCGCTAGTCAGCGATCCGAATCCGCCATTGGGCATGTTTGGCGAACAAAATACCAATCATAATGCACAGGATACGGGTAAGCCGTACATACTCATCGATATTTATCGATTGTTCAATTCGAATGTTTTCGTATGCTTCACAGGTCGCGAATTAGCCACATTGCATCACATTTGCGTTTCGTATTTGCCGGAATTGCAGGATCTATCGAATATACTATCGATCAAAAAGCTGGTGACCGTCACCGATATGTTATCGAAGCACAAATTGAAATATCGCGAGATGATCAGCTAAGATGACGACCGATATTTACAACAGTCAGTTAATATATATATATATATATATATATATATATATATATATATATATATATATATATATATATATATATATATATACATTTTTATATAGATATTTACATATATAGTTGAAAGAACGCCCAAAAGAAAAGAAAACGGAATCATCAATCATTATCTAGTGCATATTGTGAGAATAGTTCCAATAGTTTAGTCAAGCTTTTCTCGCTCCATTCATTGGGTTGTTTTCACTTTCATATTTTCTTCTACTTCCTATTTGGTTTTCTTCCATATTATATTATATATAGCAAGCATCTAGCGCATGTATATATATATATATATATATATATATATATATATATATATATATATATATATATATATATATATATAAATAGGATTGTATCTTTTTTATTTTTATATATATACAATATTAAGAAAGGCTGCTAAAAGAGGGAGAAAATGAAATAACTTTAGTAATTAACCAGGTCAAAAAAATGTGTTCAACAAAAAACATTTTTTTTTTGTTTTTTGCAAAAAAAACACAAAAGACAAAAAAACACGCGTGGCCATTATTGCAAAAGAAAAGTAAAATTTAAACTGAAATGAAAGAAATCCAAAAAATAATGCAATATTATATAAAAACGAAAGAAGACAAAAACCTTAATTTCTAGCTTAAACATATGCATAATATATTAAACAATGCAAAACTCAATTATCCAACAACTATATCTCGATTCATGTATTACTATTATTATTATGTAAATTACAAACGCGAAATGAATTTTCACCTAACTTTTACTTTATATGTTTAATAACATTTGTTTGTATTTCATATTTTGTATATGTTTTGTAACTTATGATGTATGCAGGCACAATTGGTTTCCCTCTCTCTGTCTCTCTTTGTTTTGGCCATATATCTATCTCTCTGTCTCTCTCTCTTATAACAAAAAAACTTAAGCAAAGATATTAACAAATAAAAAACATAGTTGAACTTTTTTAAGTTCATAATTTTTGCAATTTGTAAACGCATCAAAATGAAGAAAAGCAAAACAAAAAACAAAAAAAAAAAAACAAATAAAAAACAAAAAATAGTTATCTATATATATACATGTATAGTATGTATACAGCATCTGCATCCTAGTCAAAAGAAAAGCAAACAAAACAAAAATAAGGAAAACTTACGAAAAATAAAAAATCAAAATCAAAAAATTTGTGTTTATTATGTTATCAAAGACAAGACAAAGACAAGCATGGCGCGTAAAATTAAATTTTGAAATAGGCGCCACACAGCATTTGATAAGCTTAATAAAACAAATGTGGTCACACTGCTCCATATATACAATGGCAAGATGGCACCACATATCCATAGTGTAGTGAGGCCATGGCTTAACAAAAGAATTAAGTGCGTATAATAAGTTTATATGATATATAACTTATAAATGTACAACATTCACATATTTTAAAGCATTAAATGATAAATAATGCTAATACCTTTGAAGAAAATAAGGTTACCACAGGGTGTCAAAGCTGGGAAGCTACAGCCAAAGTTGGCGCCAAGTATCGATAACAAATCGTGCAGTGTGAGCACAGCCAATAGCCGTGTCAATGTTGCGGGACAGCTGATCGGCGATATCAATTATTTCTGCTTTATTTACGTGCTTAAGAATCAACAGTTTATATTGAATTATTCAAGTATCATGGCACTAATACCGCCGGTAACACGCCTTAGCGCCTCCATAATACGCATACTCGGCTGCAATCCCAGCCCGATGACGCTGCAAGGCACAAATACCTATTTACTGGGCAATGGCAAAAAGTATGATTCGAATTTCTAGTCAAATCCAAAGTTCAATTTTCTGCTTTTCTTAGGCGAATGCTTATTGATACAGGTGATGAGGATGTACCCCAGTATATAGACCATTTGAAGGGTGTGCTGCGACAGGAGCAGGCGACAATTAGCACAATTATACTCACGCACTGGCATCACGATCATGTGGGCGGGGTCAAGGACATCGTGGGCAACAAACAACTGGCGGATAAAGGTGCGAAATACCTGAATAGCTGACACTATTATACTTACATGTGTATGTATATTAACTGTAGTGCTCGTCAATGCAGATTGTCAGGTTTACAAGTTTCCACGTAGTCGGGAGGATTCGATCGATGATTCCTGCAAGGAGATACCCGCTCACATACCCTTGCAACAGCTCAAGGATGATCAGGAGCTGGCCGTAGCTGGTGCTAAGGTGCGTATAGTACATACACCTGGCCATACAACGGATCACGTTGTGCTGACCATGGACGACGGCACACTCTTCAGCGGCGATTGCATATTGGGTGAGTGAGGAGGCAGAATCTTTAAGGATCTCCACTAAAATGTGTTGTATGCTTCGCAGGCGAAGGCACCGCCGTCTTCGAGGATCTGTTCGACTATATGCACAGTCTAAAGAAGATACTGAAAATCCAACCATCCGTCATCTATCCCGCTCATGGCAATATCATAGCAGATCCCGTTGAGAAAATTGAATATTATATTAATCATCGGAATCAGCGAGAAGAACAGATTCTGCACTTCTTTAGCCAACGTCAGGGCAAGGCGTGGCAGGCGCTGGATGTGGTCAAGGTCGTCTACAAGGAGACACCCGAACAGCTCTGGCCTGCGGCTGCCTACAACGTTAGCCATCATCTGAGCAAGCTGCTCAAGGAGCATAAATTGCGGCTTAGCAGCGAGCAGGACGGCGAGAAATTCTACGAGTATCAGCCTAACAGTGCCCTTTGAGCAGCCCTTAACAGTCTAATGTTAACTGAACATTATGTAACTGCTATGTTTTGTATATATATATATGTTAAATGATCCGTTGATTATATATGATTGAAACTGTAACAATGGCTCTAAGTTTGTGAAGCAGCTGCTGCACTGTCGTCAACTTTAGCAGCATGTTAAACAGGTTGTCGATCTGAACAGAGCATTATAACAGTATGTTATGTTCAAATGTAAAGCTCCTTTAACAGCGGTTAATAACATTTACAGCTTCTGTATCTAACATCATGTTAATGAATGTTATATTTTGCATATTATTCCACTAGTTTCTATTCTATACATTAGCATTTACATAAAGCCGACTACGAACTATATCTCCACTAGCGCTTGCCCTTGCCCTTGCCTCCTTTGCCACCTTTGCTGCCCTTTTCGCGTCGCTTTTTGGCCACAATGGAGCGTTTGTCCTTCTTTTCGCGCGGATCGACGACACGATAGCGTCCCTTGACGCCAGCTGGACGTCGTGCACGACGCGAGGCTGTGTGCTTCTTGGCCACCACATAGGTGATCTCCTTCTTCTTCTCCTGTGCCTTCTTGTAGACCTTCTTTAGCTGCTTGGCCTTCTCCTGGGAGGTGGCATCTGCATTTTCCATTATCTTTTCGGCCATCTTTTTGGCCTTAGCTAGACGTTTGGTGGCGCGCCGCTTTTTGCGTGCCTTCGCCTCCATCACCTTCTTAATGGGTCGCACATTCAGTTCCTGCACCTTCCTTTGATACTCTTCCGTCAGCTCCTTGGGCACTGGCTGTGGCTTCGTCATGTGCTCGGCCTCATCCTGTGCAAACCAAACGGGCAAGTTCTCATCATTAAATGCATAACGATTCCATGCAGCATCCACTAAATCACGTCGCGTCTTTTTGCCGCGCACGAGCAGAGCACCTAATGCTAGTTCCTCCTCGGACAGACGAATCTTCTTGGCTTTGGGTGCTAGAAATGGGGAGTACAGCAAGGATAGGTATGCTATTAGTATATCATCAGCTATTTCATATATTATGTATAATGAATACCAGCGTCAACTCTCTTTCTCTCTCTCCCTTTTTCATTTGCTCTCTACCATTATAATGAGCCTCTTTCATGCCAAATGCGTTCTGAATATAACTCTACATAAGCTTCATATTCTGTTGGTGTATCTATTTCTCTTTAAGCATGTGTATTTCACTCTCTCTCGCAGGCCTCTCATGCTGCTATCTCTTTCTATTTAAATATAGGTTATTGTGGCTGACTCTCTGTCTCCCTCTTTTCTATTTTCCCATTTTTCCTATTCTTATTCTAGTCAGCTAGCCCCATCTTTAGCCTTATATCTAAAGCCTATATCGTCGCATCATCTATGATCTCTTGTATCCTCTCTTTATCAAAATCTCCTCTTCATTCCCACTGCCAATGCCAGTTGATCTCTCCTCTCACCTTTAGCCATGTCGCCCGCTACATGATCTTCATCCACTTCTTGCTCCGAGTCCGAGTCGGAAGATTCAGAGCTGCTGTCTTCCTTCTGCACATCATGCCTGGCGCGCCGTTTGGCCTTTTTGCCGAGAGCTAAGGTACCCGTATCTTCATCCATGAAAGGAGGATTCTCGCCAAGCACAGCAACTCCTTTGGCCTTGTACGCCTTGGCCAGGTTATCCAGATCATAGTTCTCTTCATCGTCGTCGTCCTCGTTACCAATATTCTGTAGATTATCCTTTTCATACCAGAGAGCGACACGTTGTTGTCGCCGTGTATCCTTGTCCCGAAAATCTCCGGACTTGATCAATGGATGTTCGCCTCGCTGTTTCTTCTTTTTGCCCTTTTTATTGGACGATTCCTGCTCCTCGTCGTCATTGTCGCTCAGGCCGAGTCCCTGTTCATCGTAGTCGCTGTCGCTGTCCTCCTCCTGGCTCACCTCCGGCTCGTCCTCGTTCTCATAGTTGGCATCGTCGTCCATCCGTTTGTCATCCTTGTCGTATTTCTTGTATTTCGGCAATTTGGGACGCTCCACGGGTTCGCCCTCCACATCGAAATCAGGTTGAACGTCGAGCATATCGTTCAGCTCGTTAATGCTCTCGATGCCCTTAAGATCGAAGATCTCATGTTCGCCTTCCTCCACTGGACCGTCGTCGCCTTTGATGACCATGTTGAGGTTCATCTTTTCATGGAGTTTCGCCTTCGATTTGAGCGTCTTCTTGCGTTTGCGTTTCAACTCCTTTTGCTCCTCGTCGGCGAGAGTTTCGATTTGTTGCTGCAGCTCGGCGTCCTCCATATCCTCGATTTGCTCTTGAGTCAAAGGTTCAGCGGGCTTTTGCTCTGTCTCTGGCTCCTCGATGACGCCATCAGCTTCGGTTTTGAATAGCTCCTCCTTGATGTGCTTCCACCAGAGCAGCAGACCCTTGATGTCTTTACGTCCCAGCACCTTTAGATCCTTGCAGCACTCTAAGATCTCACTAGTTGTCCTCTTATGTTTGGCGATGCGCTCATCATCTATGCGTATGGAGCCGACGCCCTGGAGAGCAGCCAAGGCATTTTCCGCCTGCATGAATTGTGAGGCAGCCAGATCGTTGCGCAGTGCGATATCCTGCTCTGTGTAGCCCTCGGCCTTGACGCGTTTCTGTTTCTCTGGATGTAGTAGACTATTCTTTTGCTTGCCCTCCAGGTCCAGCTCCTCGAAGACATATTTTGCATCCAGTAAACGTGCATCTATGCGATCCGGTGCCAAGTAGCCTTGGCAAACGACGAATATTTCAGCGGACTCCTTACGAGAAGCACTTGGCTTGGTGGCGTGCACCTTCTTGAAGAGCTGCTTGAGCACCCAGAGCAGCGCATTGTAATCCTTGGAGCGGAAAACTTTTGTTACAAACCAACCGCCGCTACGCAGAAAATGTGTGCCCAGCTTTAGGGCATTCAATGTGAGACAGATCTGCTGATAGGCATCGTAGAGCCAATTTCGTCCAACATTTGGTGCACCATCGTGCAGCACCACATCCACTTTCCACGACTGCAGCTCCTTGGTCAGGGACTGACGACATTTCTCTGTGGTGATATCCTCGACGAGGCCAATGCAGCCGGCAATTGGTCGTATTGGGAATAGATCGACACCGATCACAATGCTGGAGACAGGCATATTCTGTTTGGCCACCTGCATCCAGCCGCCAGGTGCAGCACACAGATCGATGCATACTTGTGACTGTTGTAGGAAACCAAATTTGCGGTTCAATTGGATGAGCTTGAATGCGGCACGCGAACGAAAGCCAGTCTCTTTGGCCAACTGGTAGAATTTATCTTTGCGCGTCTTTCCTACTTTTGTTTTCTTGCCCATTTTGTTGCTGTTGTCAACGAAAACTCAACTGAAAATGTAAAAAGAAACCGAACACGCCGCGAGTAGCGCGTTGCACGTGTTTGAAGTTTCTTGAAAGGGTGCCAGTGTTGCCAGATGCTCGCACAGCTGACGAAGGTGCCACATTATAAGCAAGCTATCGATATTACATTGCATTGATACTTATTTAATTTTAAATGTATTTGAATAAAATAAAAACAGATAGAAAATCAAGATTAATATCGTCATCATCTTAAATTATTTAAAAAACTGAAAAAAACTAGGAAAGAGATTGTGCTTAAAGAAATAGAAGTTCATATGTATATAAAAATGATTTGACGTGATTTTAACATTGAGATGTATTAATATAACTGCTGCCAGATATTGTGGCAGTGGTCTGCTCATTGAAGCACTATGTATCGATACTATTATCTGTTGATGCACATCACTAAGTTCCAACCGTGTGCCGCATAATTGTTATTTATGAATTTAAGTTGATTTTTTTGTATTAAAAAATTATATAATTAACATGCTGCGCACTGTTCTAAGCGATTTGGCACGCCTGCGGTATGTATAAACTGTAATATATGCATATATAATATATATGATTGGGTTTTCTCTGATAAAAATAGGCTGAGTGGAGGCGCCTGCTCTGTTACACAAGTCCGCGAGAAGGGACACTTGAGCCGGCCTCGATTAAGGAACCCCTATTGGTTTATACGCCAACAGCGCTTAGTAAGTTTACTAGTTTAACCATCAAAAGCTACTAAACTAATAACATTTGATTACAGCAAACGGATGATCAAGTAACTGGTGAAAATCGCAGTTTCATCAAGGAAGTGATCCATGATACCTACGGCACTCCGGCTTTAATTAAAGGTGTACAAACGTATGAACAAAAGCAGTTGATCAAAACAGATGAAGCGCCTATATCCACCGAACCGTGGACACCGAATGTGCGTCGGTGCGGCCTGATTGCTCGCAAAATTGGCCAATACCCACTTTGGCTAAAGAATGGAGAACGCATACGTACGACCCTATTGCAAGTGGTGGACAATCATGTGATTAAATATATACCACCAGAGGAATATAAGCCAACACATCAGCCGAATGTGAAGAATTTGAATCGTTATGGCTGTGTTTTGGTTGGAGCGGAGAGCACAAATCCTGCCCTGCTGACCAAAGAGTATTGTGGAATCTTTCGCGATTCAGGTGTGATGCCCACCAAAAATCTAGCACGTTTTATAGTTTCGCCACAGGCAGCCCTCAGGCCTGGCACGCCACTGAATGTGGGACACTTTAGAGTGGGCGAATTTGTCGACGTGCGTGGCAAGACGTGAGTGACGAGTGGAGAGGAGTAGATCTGTCATGTATCCGAGTTTATATATCTAATGAAATTCGAATCTTTTACAGTGTGTATCACGGATTCCAGGGTGTGGTTAAGAGACATGGTTTCAAGGGCATGCCCGCATCTCATGGCGTGACTAAGACGCATCGTCGTCCGGGAAACATTGGTGGCGGCGGTGAAAAGGGTCGCGTCTGGCCAGGCACCAAGCTGCCTGGTCACATGGGCAACCGTTGGCGCATCAGCAAAGGCTTACGCATCTGGCGCATTAATACCAAATACAATGTGATGTGGGTGCAGGGCAGCGCAGTGCCCGGCTCTACAAATGGCTTGGTCTACATCTACGATACGATTCTGCCATTGCGCAAGCCCCAAGAGGCTCCACCATTGCCCACGCTCTACGAACAGCCAGAGGACGAGGCGCCCGACGACATTTGGTATGAGCAAGTGCACAATTTCAAGGATGAAACCATCAGCTTTAAGCCCGAGTAGTTCGAAGTTAGCTTTTAAATACAATTCATTTCACATCTTTCTTTTTTGTTATACTGTATATTGTATAGAGCTCTGTGCATAATACCCTAGATAAAGTTATGTAAAATAAACAAGTAGAGTGTTTTGCTATGGTTGAACTTAGGATATGAGTCATGAATATGAAAATTATTTAAATGCATATCTCTAAGATCTGACGTGTACTGTAATGTCCGTCTCAGTGTGAATGCAAATCTCACGCTCTTTAAGCCCTTGGTAAATCGTAAAAAAGTTTAAAATCGTCAAATAACAGGAGGATCAGGAGAGCGTTTCAAGTCAGCAAATATTAATTTTTATAAATGAACTATTTTTGGACCGTGAACGAGCATTGTGTCGGTCGATGGCACTCGACTACAACATTCTTACATATTTTACTTAATAAATTTTCTATTATTGAGTTTATATATTTATCATTTTATTTTACTTTGAATTTATTTATTTCATTGTTTATTTTAATGTATTTTCATTTTTTTTTTAATTTTAACTTAACAATTTTTTTATTTCTTTCTTTTTAATTTTTTTGCATTCCATATTTCCATTTTTGATTTTGATATTTTTATATAATTTATTTTTAATTAAAATGAATTAAAAATGGATCAAAATCGCTATATATACATCAATATATATATATATATTTTTTTTTTCAGCTGTTTTACAACTACCATTTTTATTTTTCATTTAACATTTGATCTAATTTAATTTTATTTTACTAATTTATAAATTAAATTTTTTATTTTAATATATAATAGTTTTAGAGCATTTTTCATATCATATTTATTTTTATATGATTTGTTCTTTATTTCTTTTACATTTTTTTATATTAATATATTTCTAAATTTGTTTCATACAAACAAATTTTTTGTTTACCTTTTCAGCTTTTTTAGTAAATTAAACATTTTTAATTTTGTTTTTTATTGTGTGTCAACACTCTTAAAAGATTTGTTAAATTTATTTATAAATTTTAATTTTTGTTTTAATTTTTTTGTTTTTTAACTTTTTTTTAAAGATCTAATTACATAATTCCAGACTAGCTTAGGTTAAACAATCGCTGATCAGTTCTCAATAAATAACATGCTTGGCTAAATCTTTAAGCTGTTCGATCGAAACATGAAAAAAAAAAAATCAAATATATATATAGATTTCCTAATATAATTGTTTCATTTACAAATATATATATATATATGATGTAATCTATACATATATATAACGGAAACTAGACTCGTGGAAGTTATCACAGCTAAATGAAATATAATTAAAAAGAAAATAAAATGAATATATATCTAACTCTCTTATGGAAAACACCTTACAGACATAGATATAGATATAAAGAGAGCCGAGAAAGCTTCCACATGAAATTTTGAATATATATATATGCGTGTATGGAACACGAAATCGAAAGCTAAAGCTAATCAATCGAGTGAGTTCTGTCCAACGCTATGTACATCCAGTTCGGTGCTTGAGATACTTGGCGATATGGTAGTAGAATTATTTGAATTATTTCCGCCGCCCAGAGCAGCAGTTGCCCGATCCAAGTTATAATATTGTACAATGCGTGCGGGCGGACGACTCGATATGCATTCCGTGATCTTGCCCACGATCCACTTGGTCAGCTTAATTACGGCCACATGAGCAGCGAATTGGAGAATGACAGCACCGAAGCCCTTATAGAGGCCAGCCACACCTTCGGTTAGAATCGTGGTGCGATAGCAATCGATGGCACCTTGGTAATTGGTTAGAATCGGCACCACGGCATAGCCATTATCCAGATTATCGATGATGGTGCGTGTGCCCTGCAGCTGTAATCGGTGCAGGATCGTTTCGAATGGAAAGAACAGCATCTCGGTGGTTAGCATCGAAATCAAGTTGGCATAGATTTCGGCATTTTGATGCTCCAGCGTATCATCGCGATATTTGGCACCGCGTTGCTCCTGCTTCAGGGTTAGGCGCCGTCGCATAATACGCGACGAGACGCCGCGTATCACTAAGCTAAATAGATATTTGGTAATGCCCATTGTAACGCTAGGTCCAATCAGTGCCCAGGCAGGCAACATGCGTCCCTTTTGCGGCGAGCTCCAATAGAAGAGACGCAAACTACCCTCGCGAAAGACATCGAGCAGGCCAGGCTTTTCGCTAGCTATATCACTTTGCACAGTCTCTACCAGAGAGGCGGCATAGAAGGGCACAACTAAGCCAATGCTAATGCTGCAGATAGAAACAGATATATTTAATATAATTAATTAAAACACGTTCAGTCCATGCAGCAACACTTGCCTCTTCAGCAGTATGTGCTGTCCGAACCGTTTGAGTGTCGTCCGACTATCCACATCCTTTGGCCAGCTCGTAAACTTGCTAATTACATCATCTATGGCCAGAGTCATGCCACGGACAAGTAAACAACTGCCCAGGCCTTTCCATAGGGTGGTGACACCTTGTCGTCGATGCAAATGCACAATGCTGGGCATCAGTTGAAATGGATGCAAATGATAGCACTGTGATGCATTATAGACCTGACACTGACGACGCAGAACAATGAACGGATGACTCAATAGATTCTCAGTGACGAGTGAAACCCATTGGACGCCAAAGACCAAATATTTGCGCAGCGACGCTTCTAAGGGAAGAGATTATATTGATTTAGTATATATATGTAGACAAGTTTTATAGCTCACCATCGTCCTGGCTATCCAAGTATTTGTCCAGCGCCTTGGATTGTTTATCCAAAGGCAGTGAAAGATCTCGATCAGAATTCACGTACTTTAGATGTGCTACAGCATGCTGATCTGCATTTATGTTGTCCACAATGGCCTTGTCGCGATCGTCCACGCTGAAATTATAACTATTGTTGTTTTTTTAATGAAGCTTTTAAGCCCTAGATGTGTCTACGGATTACCTGTTAATTAGCTGGATACCGGGATCGCCTATGCTTTGAGGCATTATGTCCATCATCTGCTGGTACGACTCTGATTGTGGATGCATCTGGTCGCCGTAAGCACGATTTGCTGTTGCATGCCTGTTTCTCAATTATATTACAATTTTAGTTTTTCAAGATTTCTATTTGCGAAATTCCTACTCACACTTGGTTAGTATAATTGTTGATACTGCCTGACATAATATGTATGTATGTTTGTATGTGTGTGTGTGTTTTCCGTTTAGTGAATGTTTAATGTCTCGCCAATTTCCCTGGTATCACTGCCGCTGCTTCTGCTGATGTTGTCGCTTTACTTACTATGCTTCTTTTTATTTTTAAATACTAAATAACTTTGATTTCCATATAGTGTGTGTAAGCATTGAAACTAGAGATGGACGCATGAACCCAACACCCAACGGGTAACACGCTAGCACGCAGCAGACAATCCGTGATAACAAAAATTATACTATTTAAACTATTTAAAAATAATATATTTGTATATATAATATGTTTGTTATGTTTGCTACAACTGAAATATGTTTGACAGATAATGAGCTGGGAATGCTATCGTTTATATATGATTTAAAGTTATTGTTATATATCAAATCAAGGTATCGATATATGCACACGCACCCATCCCTCTTCGTTTTCGCATTCCAATATCCTATTAGCTATCATTATGCGATAGTATGCGGTAACAGCTGTTCACTTCTTTTTCAAATCAAGCATCGATATATGCTTTCCCGCTAACCACAAAGGCGCTGCATTATCGATAGCATACCTGCTTCGATAATTACCGGCATCTATAACAGCTGTTCGCGCATTTCTTTCATTTCAATCTACAATTTAAATGCTAAAATGGCAAAAGTCGTAAAAAACAGTGGCACAATATGCCTAAGAGCTGAAGTATGTGATCTGGAGCGTACTCTACTAGGCGGCCAAAGCTTTCGGTGCGTACAAAAGCCACTTAAATATAAAAATATTTACATTAATTACGTTTTAGATGGCGCAAATTATGTTCCGAGCCGAAAGTAAAATATTGCGGCGTTGCTTTAAATACTTATTGGGAGCTAACACCTGAAGCGGAGCATATTGCCTATGAAGCTCACGTTGCAACCAACAATCCGACAAATACCAACTTCACTTCCTTGCTAAGCGATTATTTGCGCGCTGATTTTGATTTGGAGAAGCAACAAAAAAATTGGATGCTTGCAGATGAGAAATTTAAGAAATTTGTTGGCCAGCCAGTGCGAATGTTGTCCCAAGAGCCGCTGGAGAACATAATCTGCTTTATGTGTAGTCAAAATAACAATATAAAGCGGTAAGCCTCATATTCAGCTAAACTTTTAGCTGTGAGTATTTTTTATACCCTGTAGGCCCATGGAAAATCATCGTTGAGGCGCATTTTCTAGTCAGTCCCTCTCAACTAGGGCATTCTCAAATGTTTGTAATGTCGCTTTTCTTTTAGTATTTCATCGATGATTCAGTGGCTGTGCTCCGCTTATGGCAATAAAATTGGACTCTTTAACGGCCAGGAAGAGTTCACCTTTCCCACGCTCAAGGAACTGCAAGGCGAGCGCAGCTGCAGCCAGCTCGACGCTGAGTTGCGCGCAGCCAAATTTGGCTATCGAGCTAAGTTTATAGCGCGGTCGCTGACGGAGATTGAAAAGTTAGGCGGATTGGATTGGTTTGAGCAATTGCGTCGTTTGCCCTATATGGAGGCACGTGAGGCCTTGGTACAACTGCCGGGCATTGGCTACAAAGTAGCTGACTGCATATGCCTTATGTCGCTGAATCATCTGCAAGCGGTACCCATTGATACACACATCTTTAAGCTGGCCCAACGGCATTATTTGCCACACTTGGCCAGCCAGAAGACCGTCACAAGCAAGATCTATGACGAGATTTCACAACACTTTCAGCAGCTTCATGGACAATACGCGGGCTGGGCGCAAGCGGTAGGTTTGCGGCATACGTAACAACGTTGCAGTCGGGCAGAACCGACTAGCCATATGCTCGTTCAAAGTCCCAGAATAGCTAAGTTTTAGACGATAGCATATTTTCCTGTTTCCCTCGCCCTTATACAACGTCTATTTCTATATATTTTCCGATTGCCCATGCTTATAGTTTTCGTATTATAGAACTAGGTATTACGGAGGCGTACATATTTAAAATTTCAACTGTATTACAGACAGACGACTATATAAAGCAAATCTACTTGAGTTTTCACATCATGAACGAGCATAACAAGCTATATAAATATAATGATCGTAAATCTCTTCTCTTTAGGTTCTCTTCTGTGCGGATCTGCCACAATTTCAGCCTAAACTGGAATCTAATGCAGCTAAAAAGCGCAAAAAGTGACCTGAATCTGTTTTCTAATATATGTATGTATATGAACATATATGTTATATATAGAAACGTGTTTGTCCATTAGATATAAGTTATTTTAAGCCCGAAATCTTCCTGTATAGAACATAACTTTCTTAGCCTCTAAATCTCCAATTACACATATTCTTGTATCAAACTATTAATATGGAAAATATTCTTAGATATGGATCTGTGGAGCAGAGCTACACTCAATGCTGAACGAAGCTTGTAAGTGAAATATTATCTCTTTGTATATTAACATATATGTATGTATAAGGATTAAAGATTAAAGATTAAGCATATACAATAAATTAGATAACATTGAAACTTTTGCATATCTGAAAAGAGCTGAAGTTACTGCTAGAGAGACATTTGCGTATCTTCCCTTGAAAGATCGGCTAGCACAGTAAACAGTTATAGAGTAGTATTAAAACTAGATAGCGAAGACAGTTAGCTGCGAAGATGGTAATGAATTTTCTTACCCATTACATTCATGTCTCCTTTAAATATTCGGCTTTTCGTAACTGAAACAGTAAATTGAGGTAAAATAAAACCAACAAATTTTAACGTCATCCAACAGAAACAAGCCTCGAGAAAGCCCGGCAAAAATGTAGCCACTTTTTTAACGCCCACTCACCTGGTTGAGGTGTGCACGGAGACCGCGCACTCACAGCCACTGGCATGCGAGCAACTAAAAACCCCAAACAAGCCTGCGAAAGTATTTTGCTAACACTTCGCGAGAGATTAAAAGCAATTTACTTATAAATTTTGCACAACAATTTTATGCTTAACCAAAAAAAGGAAGAAGGGAACAAAGGAAAATGAAAGATAAAGCCTTGGCATGCCGTAGTTTGAATACCCTAGACAGATAGACATATCAAACAAGGATGACTGTCCTGATCGGGTCTTCCCGACTGGTTGATACCTTAAGCTAAGCTGCTGCATACACCTTGTTCGTGTCGCTTCTGAGGCGAGGCGAGGTGAGAGACCTAAAAACTATTTGTATCGATAATTATCGATTTTATAGAAGTGGAAGAGTGAGCAATGAACTGAATTGAACAATGAACGCTGCCAGTCTGTAAATTCTTCTACTCTTATACTCTTACAATCTTATACTACTAAAGTCTTATACTTTTAAAGTGTTATGCTCTGAAAGTCTTATACTTTGCTGCGCTTTTACACTTAGTTTCATATACTCTTATACTTATACTCTCATACTGTTGTGCTCTTATACTTATTTAGCAGACTGTGATACATGAAGGCGTAATTTGATCCTGAACAAGAATTATGTTGTCATCCATGCCTTCTTCTACCTGTAAAGCCCATCTGGAAGGGCTTGGAATACCCTAGGCAAAGGTATTTAGACCGACAGACAAATGCAAGCCGTAAATAATGGTCTAAACCAACTACGATGAGGGATGAGCGCGTGCTTTGTGTATCGTGAAAAGGCTACAACTAGAGATGGGCATGACTACAGGAGGAATGCTGTATCGGAAAAAAGTAGACCTCTCACACTTTTTCGATCACTGACTAAGCCTCTTTACAGAAAGATCTCTTAGATCGTATATCGATATAATCATAGCTTATATCTTGGACGAGTATAGCGTGCAGTTGGTTACACCCGACTGCTTCATTCGAACTGGTTTTTTGTTTGGTTTTTTTGAGCACTTCACGCAAGCATCTCTAATGCAGCGTTGGTGGTTCGTGGCGTAGTGCTGCTCTCTTTAGATGGGTGGGCGAAAATCCGCTTGGTGTCAGCTATAATTTAATTTAGACAACAGACAACCGCAGCCCACCAGACTCACACACAGGCATACACACGCACACAGACAGCAGGACACCTACAGGTAACTGGACTTGGGCGTTGTTGAATGGACGTCATAGTTACGAACGACTTTTCATAACCTAAATTATTTATTAGACAGTTTAATTTTCAATTCACAAAAAACAGCAGAGCAAATCCGAAAAGTGGATGTGTATGTATGTGTGGGTGGGTGTTGTGTGAGTATCTATTAAATAGAATAGCAAAGTAGTTGATGTTTACTGTTGTGTTCATGTTTACTTGTAATTACTGCGAAGTAACTGGGCTTCGGTTGTTTAAATACTTCAGTAATTCTAAGTTAATGCTTGATTGATTGTGAGTGGGAGAGCAGCAAACTGACTGATTGACGCACACGTATATTGCTAGCGTGATTGACGGCTTAATTGGTTGCCTAGCTAATTGATTGGCTCGCTAGTTATTCTTTAATTGACGGCTTAATTGACTAGCTGATTGATTGATTGATACGACTCGCTGCCTTATGAATAGTTAACTGAATAGTTAGTCATTGACTGACTTACTTATTTCCTGACTAAATCTTTGATTGACTGACTGACTGACTGACTTACTGATTGGCTGACGGCCTTCATTGCTGATTAATAAAATGATTGACTTATGATGGATATACGATTGATAGCGTGTTAGCTAGTTGCAGGCCAACTGATGGATTGACTGACTCTGATTGAACGTCGATCTAACATCTGATTGACTGTAAATTATTGACCTGCATTGCCGTTGTGTACATGGGCTTATGAGCAGCCTGTTAGCTGTGTTGAGCTCTCGCTTGGTTGGGGAAATTGAATTTATAATCTCTTTTGGGCTAAGATTTATACCAGCTGTGTTGAACAAAAGGCTTAGATACCCTTTAAAAATGAAGCAGCTGAGGAGTTGAACCCCACTGAACTCTGGCATGAACCCTGGCATTGCCCAAGTGACCGGGTTGTAAACTTTTTCGACAGCCACGCAAATAATGGGCATAACAGAACTAAAGCACAGGCGGCAGGCAGGCAGGCCGGTGGAGATGGAGTTCCGGCCAAGAAGGTGTTGCAAGTTAAACATAAATTACTGCGTCGCATGCAACGAGCTTTTGAGGCTGCTCAGCATTAACCGCATAAAGCGCCAAAAGTTTTGCGTTCGCGAATCTGCGAATGGGAAATGTTCAAAAGATGCGAAGCTGTAAGAGGTGAAAGGAATGAGGGGGCAAAAAGCAGAAGGTTGAATGAGGAAGGATAGGAAACGGCAGAATGTTATGAGATGAAACAGGATGTATGTTCGTTAAAAGTAAGAGATATTATTTAAAAGATGAGAGCTAAGAGATAAGAGGTAAGAGGTAAGAGGTAAGAGGTAAGAGGTACGAGGTAAGAGGTAAGAGATAAGAGGTAAGAGATAGGAGATAGGAGATAGGAGATAGGAGATAGGAGATAGGAGATAGGAGATAGGAGATAGGAGATAGGAGATAGGAGATAGGAGATAGGAGATAGGAGATAGGAGATAGGAGATGGGAGATAGGAGATAGGAGATAGGAGATAGGAGATAGGAGATAGGAGAAAAAGGTAGGAGGAACGTGGGGGTTAGGATTCAGAAAGTTGTGTATGTGAGAGGGGAGCAAAGGGAGTCAGCAGAAGACAGTTGCAGATAGACAGAAGGAAGCAAGGAAGGGAATAGCTAGTAGGAGGCAGTGTAGGACAGAGGGAAGATAGCAGTCAGAGGTATGCAGGTGGCTGACGCAGAGACAGGAGTCAATGTTGTGGCAGCGAGTTTGCCCTGGTTCAAAAAGTTGCAAGTTTGCATAACCAAAAATTGTTGTTAAGTTGCCAAAAAGTTGCCGCCGAGACAAAAAAGCAAAAAAAAGAAAAGAAGAAGCAAAGTTGCCGCAAGAGCTGTAAAGTGTTGGGTTTATTAAATGGCCAAAGCCAGAGCCAGAGCCAGAGCCAGAGCCAGAGCCAAAGGGCGTTGTGGCGCCCATAGCAGGTGAAAAATGAAAATGAGCTTCATCCAGCCGCATTAAATCCAGCACTAAGAAAGAATGAAAAAAAGGTATGCCAATTAATAGGAGCTGTCCAATAGAAGTGCCAATTAAATGCGAAACGAATGCTTTGCCCACAGATCGTTGACAAGCGATTGGCAAGTTGGGGAAAGGGCAATGAAGATATAGATGAAGATTATGATACAGTTGCTGGTGTACGAGGAACGTTTATGAACTTCCTTCTTCATCTCTCATCTTAAGATTCTAGTCTAGTTAGCTGGGGCACTTAAGAAGGGAAAAAAATAAATGCGAGCAAAGCTATTCCCTTTACTCATGTATTCAGTTTTATCTAGCCATATTATCTGAGCCTGGTCAGCCTCCATACAGAATATCTACTAGTCCAAGAGTATTGTTACATTAATAGTTAGCTTACAGGGTATCTACTGGCTCTTCATTCGCAGATGAAGCTGTGTTTATATCTGTGAAGTATATAGATAGCGTATGGAAAGTCATTATAACTCATATTTGACATCTGAACTGTCTGTAGGGTATCTCTTGGCTCATAACTTGAGCAGCATGTATGCTTGAACATTTAGACACTCGCATAGGGTATCTCCTAGCGCATAACAGGCAATCATAGCTGCATTTTTATTACTATATCTAAATGCTTAATTAACACAACGCAAATCCACAATAATCGAAATTGTTCACCTGAGCTATTTACAGGGTATCTGCTAGTCCATAATTTGTCACTAGTTCAGCTCTTTAGCCATCGCTCAAGGCTTGACAAGGCGGAATAGAGCCCTTTAATTCACTGCAACTCACATCTGACATATTTACAGCCTACAGGGTGTCTGCCAGTCGCTCATATACCGCTAATTCAATCATATCTGCGCTTTGCTCTCATTCTGTGCGCTTTTGTATTCGTTTTAATTGAATTGGTGCGTTTTTTATTTGCAATCGCCTTGGTTTCCGCACAAGTCCCACAGCCTACTCTGGAGCCCAGGCACCTCCCTTTTCCAATACCCCAAGCCCTGTCTCTCTCGCTATCTCTCTTGCTGTCTCTCTCTGCTGTTCAATCAGCAACTGCTGCTGCTGGTGCTGCTGCTCCAATTGAGGACATGCTGACTTATTAACCACTAATGCTTATAATTGGTGGCCCATCGAGGCGGATGAGAAGCTCAGGCAAAAAAGATGGGCCGGGGGTGGGACACAGAGGATCTGTGCGGGCTAGGCCCGGCACATGGCGCTTGGGGCTCGGCTGCGCCCCTTTTGTTGTCAGAACATATGTGAAGTGCAGAATTGCCTGCTGATTTAATTCAAATGCAATTTTGTAGCCAAGGAGACAATCTCCGCTTTGCTCCATTTAACCCAATTTCCGCCAAAGTACCAAGTCAATATTAACACACCCACACACTCACGCGCTCCCTTAAGCTGTGTGTG